GTAGAGAGGCCCAGAGGCAGAGGCCAGGTTGCTCTGTGCAGATTTGCTCTGTGTGGATGGGATTCTAGTGATTTACCTGCTACAGTGCGAATAAAGTTGAGTATAAACCCTTTCACGTCAAGAACATTCCACTGTCATTTCTGTGGTCTCACTGAATCCATAGTTAACTTGTCCGGGACTGAAACCCAATGGCAAGACATCCTTTTACACCTAGGGTTCCATTGTTGTTATTCGGTCTCACTGAGTCCAGAGTGAACTTGCCCAGGTGCAATACCTGTCAGGAGAGATGGTCTCCTCTCTAAAAATGGGACCAGCAACATCTATACTTTAAAGTTGTTATAATGTTTAAAGTAGAAGACACATGTACAAGCACCTGGTACATCATCATTGCTTAATTAGTAATTAAGGTTACTAATCAACTGACCCTAGTTAAATGTTACCTTCTCTTCCACATGCCAATAATCCCAGTCAAACAAGGGGGAGAAAAAAGACTCTCCATGTTAAGTATCTGTTTAAAGACTTCCACAATAAAGCTTAGGTCCATGAAAGCATGGTAAATATCTAGTTCAGTGGTTCTGAAACCTTAGTGAGCTTCAGAATCCCCCAAAGGACTTCCTAAAACACAGACTGCCAGGCCTCACCTCCAGAGTTTCTGATTCAGTAGTTCTGGGTAAGGCTCAAGAATTTGCATTTATAACAAATAACCAAATGATACTGGTCAGGTACCACACTTTGAGACCCTGTGATGTAAATTTATCACTGAATCCCCAAGTACCATTTCAGACCAGTTCCTAATACACAGAAGATACTCATATATTTCTTGATTGACTAACACATATATATAAGTTTACTACTCTTCTTTACAAAAGTAAAAAACTGGAATTTGATGTTTAAAAATAAAGAATGATTAAACCAACTATGTAGTATACTAAATGTAATCATTAAGTAAAACCATCAACAAAATGAAAAGGCAACTTACTGAATGGGAAAAAATATTTGCAAATCATGTATCTGATACGGAGCTAATATCCAAATATATAAAAAACTTAACTCACTGCAAAAACAAAAAAAATCCAATTAAAAAATGGGCAGAGGTAGAGAACCAAGATGGTGGTGTGAGTAGAGCAGCAGAAATCTCCTCCCAAAACCATATATATATTTGAAAATATGACAAATACAACTAATCCTAAAAGAGAGACCAGAAGACACAGGACAACAGCCAGACTACATCCACACCTGCGAGAACCCAGCGCCTCACAAAGGGGGTAAGATACAAGCCGCAATCCGGCGGGACCCGAGTGCCCCTCACCCCAGCTTCCGGCGGGAGGAGAGGAGTCGGAGTGGGGAGGGAGAGGGAGCCCAGGACTGCTAATCACCCAGCCCTAGCCATCCTCACCGGAGCGCAGACACATAGTGCATGTGGCGTGGGGTGCTGAAAACTAGGGAAACAGGACAGTAAGATCTGTGAGCGGGTCCCCGCAGCTTGCGCACCTGGGACAAAGAACAGCAAGTGCTTTTTGAAAGTCTTAAAGGGACAGGGACCCCACAGCTGGACGAAAGCGCCCTGGGACACTTAGCCCAGCAGCTGCAAATCCCAGGGAACTCTGAGCGCCCAAACCTCCGCAGCACTGCTCGGAGGCCCCTCACCGTGATAAACAGCCTCCCGCCTGTTCCCCCTCCGAGGTGGCTCCACCATACTGGAGCAGTAGCCTGAGGCCGGCCATGCCCACAGCAACTGCAGAGCTACATAAACTCCATAGTGGCCGGGCAAGATCACAAGCCCCGTCTGCATGCAGCTGCCCAGCACAAGCCGCTAGAGCCCGCTCTTCTCCCAGGAGAGGAAGGCCATAAACTGGCAAGAAGGGACTTTCTCTTACCCAACACACAAGCCAGCTCCCCACAAATATATCTATCGCCATGAAAAGGCAGAAGAAATTGATACAGACCAAGATCACAGAGGCAAACCCTGAGAAGGAGATAGACGTAACCAGTCTTCCTGAAAAAGAATTAAAAATAAAGCTTATAACCATGATGATGGAGCTGCAGAGAAATACGCAAGAGCTAAGGGATGAAGTCCAGAGGGAGATTACAGATGTCCGGAGGGAGATTACAGAAATTAAACAATCTCTGGAAGGATTTATAAACAGAATTTATAAGATGCAAGAGGCCATTGATGGAATAGAAACCAGAGAACAGGAAGCACAGAAGCTGACGCAGAGAGAGATAAAAGGATCTCCAGGAATGAAACAATATTAAGAGAACTGTGTGACCAATCCAAAAGGAACAATATCCACATTATAGGGGTACCAGAAGAAGAAGAGAGAGAGAAAGGGATAGAAAGAGTATTTGAAGAAATAATTGCTGAAAACTTCCCCAAAGTGGGGGAGGAAATAATTGATCAGACCATGGAAGTGTACAGAACTCCCAACAGAAAGGACCCAAGCAGGACAACACCAAGACACATAATAATTAAAATGGCAAAGATCAAGGACAAGGATAGAGTTTTAAAGGCAGCTAGAGAGAGGAAAAACGTCACCTACAAAGGAAAACCCATCAGGCTATCATCAGACCTCTCAACAGAAACCTTATAGGCCAGAAGAGAATGGCATGATATATTTAATGCAATGAAAGAGAAGGGCCTTGAACCAAGAATACTGTATCCAGCACGACTATCATTTAAATATGAAGGAAGGATAAAACAATTCCCAGACAAGCAAAAGTTGAGGGAATTTGCCTCCCACAAACCACCTCTACAGGGTATTTTAGAGGGACTGCTCTAGATGGGAGCACTTCTAAGACTAAATAGATGTCACCAGAGAAAATAAAATCACAGCAAAGAAAGCAGACCAACCAAATACTAACTAAAGGCAAAAAATAAAATCAACTACCCACAAAAGCAGTTAAAGGAAGCACAAAAGAGCACAGACTAAAACAACCAACATATAAAGAACGGAGGAGGAGGAATAAGAAGGGAGAAAAATAAAGAATGATCAGACAGTGTCTAAAATAGCTCAATAAGTAAGTTAAGTTAGACAGTAAGATACTAAAGAAGCTAACCTTGAACCTTGGCAACCATGAATCTAAAGCCTGCAATGGCAATAAGTATATATCTTTCAATAATCACCCTAAATGTAAATGGACTGAATGCACCAATCAAAAGACACAGAATAATAGAATGGATAAAAAAGCAAGACCCATGTCTATGCTGCTTACAAGAGACTCACCTCAAACTCAAATACTATAGGAACAAAGAAAGACTGAAGGAACAAAACAGCAGCAGAATCACAGAACCTAAGAATAGACTAACAGTTACCAAAGGGAAAGGGACTGGGGAGAAAGGGAGGGAAGGGAGGGATAAGGGTGGGGAAAAAGAAAGGGGGCATTACAATTAGCAGGTATAATGTCGGCGGGGGCATAGGGAGGGCTGTGCAACACAGAGAAGACAAGTAGTGATTCTATAGCATCTTACTACGCTGATGGACAGTACTGTAATGGGGTTTATGGGGGGGATTTGGTGAAGGGGGGACCCTAGTAAACATAATACTCTTCATGTAATTGTAGATTAATGACAACAAAATAATTAATTAATTAATTTTTTTAAAAAAGGGCAGAGGATCTGAATAGACATTTTTTCCAAAGAAGACACAGAGATGGCCAATAGGTACATGAAAAGGTGCTCAACATCACTAATCATCAGGGAAATGAAATCAAAACAACAATGAGGTATCACCTGTTAGAATGGCCACTACCCAAAAGACAAGAATTAACAAGTGTTGGCAAGGACGTGGAGAAAAGGGAATTCTTATGCACTGTTGCTGAGAATGTGAATTGGTGCAGTCACTATGGAAACCGTATACAGGGTAGTCAAAAAACTAAAAATAGAACCACCATAGGATCTAGAATTCCACTTCTGGGTATTTATCCAAGAAAAAGCAAAACACTAACTCCAACAGATATCTGCACCCCTCCTTTTTCCCTGCAGCCATTTTCACAATAATCAAGACATGAAAACAACCTAAGCATCCACTGATGCATGAATGGATAAAGCAAAGGTGGTATTTATGCACAATGGAATATTATTCAGTCATAAAAAGCAAGGAAATCTTGTCATTTGTGACAACATGGATAGACCTTCAGAGCATTGAAATAAGTCAGACAGAGAAAAGATAGGTACCACGTGATAGCTCATATATTTGGAATCTAAAAACTAACAAAAGAACAAACTTATATACAGAGAAAGACTAGTGGTTGCCAGAGGTGGAGGGTGAGGGATGGGTGAAATGGATGAAGGGTATCAAAAGGCAATTATAAAAAAATAAGTCCTGGGGATGTTATAGTATGGTGACTATAGTTAATAACGCTGTACTGTAAATTTGAAAGTTGCTGAGAGAATAGATCTTAAAAGTTCTCGTTACAAGAAAAAAATGTGTAACTGTATGTGGCAACAGATGGTAAAAAGACTTGTTGAGGTGACCATTTCACAGTATATACAAATATTGAATCATTACATTGTATACCTGTAACTAATATAATGTTATGTCAATTGGATCTCAATAAAAAGCAAGTAAAATTCTATAGAAACACAGATAAATACATACAAAATAAGTGAAAACGGTAACACAAAATTGTATATCAATTTAAACTACATTAAACACATACACACATGGATCGATGACAAAAGAAATTTCAAAAAATGACTTAGTTTTTGAGGTTAGGATTAAAGAATTCAAAATTTTTCGTTGTTTAAAATTTACTCATAAGGTATTTTAAGGCTGACTTAATTTACAATACCAGCACTAAGTAATTAGATAAGTGTGTGAATAAAACCATAGATCCCAGAGGATACTGTCACCCAATTAAAACAAATGTGTATAGGAAACATCTATGAATTGGTTGTTAGTTGCCTCAAAACTTGATGTTACAAAGTATTACTGAGAAGCCTACACAGAAAAATCTACAAAATATACATACATACACACACAAAAAAAAATATAAATTACCTGTCACAGGAGGGACAACACCAGAAAAACGCACTGTTGCATGTTCTCCATTAACTTCAACTCTTCGACCAATGACATCTAATGTCAAAGTGTCATTCATTATAAAGTAGTCAGAATCCAAAATATGAGATCTAGGGGAAAAAATTATAACAGTAACAAGAACTTAATGAAATCTTAAAATTTTTTTGACTTCATTGAGATATTTAAGAGGTCAACACTTTTGACCATTTTAGTCTTTGTACTATGGATGAAGAGAACCTATAGATTTATGTACCAAGCCCTCATAATTTGATATTACCTTACTTTGACTATCTATTTTTAAAATCTTTAACTCCAGTTAACTAACATCACAGGATTCATCTGTTTTGTCATCTATTAAGGGAAAGGAGAGCAGAAGAGAGGGGTATAAAAGTAATGAAGAAAAGGGAAAGGAAAAGGGTAGTATGGGCATTATACTCAAGCCAGGGAGAAAAACACAAATCCACAGATACAGAAAGCAATGCATATAATGAACAACAAATGAAAAATTAAACTCTAATAAAAATACAGAACCTTAAAAATAGAGAGAAGGTCTTAAAAGGAACCTGAGAGAAAAGTATCCTCTATCCAGGAATGATCACTAGACCCAACGCCTACTTCACAGGAAAGCAGAAGACTACGTTAAATGACACCACTAGTGTGTGCAGCCAGCCAAAAAGTAGAGAATTGGGGCATGCTACAGCACAAGCAAGTGGGTTTTTCCAACAAACCAAATGAAAGGAGAACAAAGAGATGGAGGGAGAACAAAGAGAACAAAGAGAATAAAAGAAACTTAAGAGCCACATCAATTGCAACATATAAACTTATTTGGATCCTAATTTTTAAAACCTGTAAATAATTTTTAAAATAAATTATGAGAAAATTTGACCACTGACTTAAATAATAAGTGTTTCCAACAAGGCTAATAAAACTTTATTTTTTTTTTAAGTCAAATGTGTAGTTGTGATAATGGTGTAATAACTCTGATCTTTTAAAAAGCCTTTATCTTTTAGAAATACACACTCAAAATACCTATAAAGTTGTATTTTAGATACATCATACCAGTGGCAGTGTAGACAATATGTTGAAAGGAAGTAAAAAGCAGAGTAGTCAGCTAGAGAAATACTATTTTAACTCACAAAAAAACTAGGAGCCTGAACCAAGGCTTTAGCCTCCATCCATTCATTCAATACATACAAAACCCTGCGATGTGCTAGCTACTGTGTTAGACCTCCCTTCATAGTAATCCATACTACGTATGATTCCTGCTTCAGAAACTTACAGTCCAGGGCCAGTTAGACCTGAGAGAAGGGTATGCATTTTAGAGTAAGGTAAGAGCTAGAATCAACACAGTCTGGTGATTAATTGGATAGAAATAGTAAACAGAAAACTAGGGAGACTCTGAGCTTTTGCTTGGGTAGATGGTGGTATGAGGCACTGAAATGAGTAATGTAAGGGGAGGTTTAAGTGTGGGAGGGAAGATAGTGAGTTTGAGGTGCCTAGAGAATGTTGTGATGGATGTGGGTCTTTAGTTCAAAAGATGTTTTCAGTAGGAATACATATTTGGGAGTCATCAGCCCAATTTAAAACTGACATCATTAAAGTGGATGGTGTCAACCATGTATGAGGTGGAAAGAAAAGAGGATTGATGACAGAATCCTGGGGAAATAGACTATTTAAAAGGGAGAGGAAATAAACCCTGAAGAAATCAGAGCAGGAAAAGCCAGAAAGGATAAAAAGACAACCAGAAATGTGTGGGTGGGGGGCACGGGGGAAGGCTGTATAGCACGGAGAGGACAGGTAGTGATTCTACAGCATCTTAGTACGCTGATGGACAGTGACTGCAATGGGGTATGTGGGGGGAACTTGGTGATGGGGGGAGTCTAGTAAACATAATGTTCCTCATGTAATTGTAGGTTAATGAGACCAAAAAAAAAACAAAAAAAAGACAACCAGATTCCTGGTGTCTTGGAACACAAGGGCAGTAAGAATAATGGAGTAACAGTGTCAGGGACTGCAGAGATCTGCAAGACTAACTAGGGTTTAACAGCCTTGTGTGTGGCCTGCTGGCATGATATGGTTCACAGCCACACCCACAGCTTTGTCTAAATGAAGCTTAGTTTCTATTACACAAAATTCACAAGGCTGCAGAACAAGGATTTTGAAATGACCACAAGTTACAGGACTACCAAAGTATTTTTCTATTTTAATAATATTACCATATAATATGCATACAAAAAGAGAAAAACATACACTGCTAATCACACCTTCTTGGGTTAGAATCACATTCCTGAGGTCATTAAAATTACTACTTCTCTACCTTTATGTTATGCTTGTTAAAGAAACAGTAGACATTCCCTCTATTACTCTAGTCATCTGTGCTATATTTAACCTGCTGTTTTCATAAAACAGAATAATCTAGGCACTTTTACCTCTTCTCAAGTTTCACAATTAGGTTCTCTCAATCATACTCTCTAGTTTCCCATAAAAACATTTTTCCCAATTCTTGTGAGAAAACTGGTATTTCAAGGAGGGGCTGGACTTTGACTGTTTAAATATGGGTGGGCAGGGCAGTCAGGAGGGGGCCAAGACTCATATTTCATCTGCCTGGTAGGGTTGAAAAACAAGAGAGAAAACATCCCAAAGCCTGAACTTCATGGGAAAAGTCAAAACAGTTCAGATGATTTCAAAGTAAAATCAGTAGGCTGGTAGGGGCAGGCATGGGGAAGCCATGTTTAATAAGCTCAAGTACAGTTAGATATACTAAGCAGCTGAGAACGCTGATTCACGATAGGGCTAAGCCTGTGTTCCCATGCAAAGTTCTAGTCCCAGAGGACTAATACAATCAGTATAGAGTGCCATTCCTACAAGAAGTTCAAGGAGTAGGCAGAATCTTGGTTCCATGAACTACTCATTATATTTTTCTTTCCTTTTTTCTATGTTTGAAGATGTTTTGGATATAAATTTAAAAAAAATAAAACACTACACCCAACAAGTAAACATTCTTGAACTACTTGTTAGTCTAAACCCATCCTAAAAGCTTCTTTTCTGGTCTTGACATTTTTTTCACAAGTTGATTTTAAGGCTCATCCTGACTGATATTTTTCTCAGCAGGTTTGTTGAAGTGTCTAAAAGTCATTGGTTAAAAACTGCCTCTTTTCCCATTTATAATCCCCTTTATATTTTTCTTTGCATTTCTTTCTCAGTTAATTTTCTGAATAGATACCCACAAGTATAAAAGTGGATACACTGTAAGTTTCCCTTCCATGCCTGCCACTCATTATGTCTTTCCACTAGCAACAGCTTTCTTAGCATCTTATAAATACACTTGGCCCTTGAACAATGTGAAAGTTAGTGGCACTGACGACTCCCCCATGCAGTTCAAAATCCACATGTAACTGTTGACTTTCCAAAGGCTTAATTACTAACAGCCTACTTTGACCAGAACTTTTACCAATGACAGTCAATTAACCCATATCTTGTATGTTATATGTAGTATATACTGTAATCATACAATAAAGTAAGCTATAGAAATGGAAATTTCTCAAATTACTGCAATTCTCCAAAAAATTTTCCAACACGTTTATTGAAAAAACGTTGGATAAAGTGGACCTGCACAGTTCAAACTCATATTTTTCAAGGGTAATCAACTGTATTTCCTCAACTGTATTTCCATACTTACTTTATGTTTATACAAGAAAGCATTTTTCTTCATTCTTCATAGAAATGAGAACATACTATTCATGTGGTTCTATTCTTTACATCACTCAGTAATATATCCTAGAGATTTATCCACAGCTGTCGGGAGCTTTTCAATTTTTATGGATGCATAGTATTTGTATAGATACACCATAATTTATTCAACAGTCCTCAAACTGATGGATTAGGTTACTTCCTAAATTTTGCTATTATAAACAATACTGGCAAGGATTAAGCCAGCACATTTATCTTTTTACACTTGTGCAAAAATATCTGTACGAAACATTCTCAAAACAGGTATTACTTAGTCAAAGGATAGGTGCATTTTTTTTTGGACTTTTAAATTTATTCTTATATTTTATTCTTTTTGTATCATTAATCTACAATTACATGAAGAACATTATGTTTTCTAGGCTTGCCCCTTCACGAAGTCCCCCCACATACCCCTTCACAGTCACTGTCCATCAGCGTAGTAAGATGCTGTAAAATCACTAATTGTCTTCTCTGTGTTGCACAGCCCTCCCCATGCCCCCCCACACACACTATATATACATGCTAATCGTAATGCCCCCTTTCTTTTTCCCCACCCTCGTCCCTCCCTTCCCACCCATTCTCCCCAGTCCCTTTCCCTTTGGTAACAATTAGTCCATTCTTGGGTTTTGTGATTCTGCTGCTATTTTGTTCCTTCAGTTTTCCTTTGTTCTTATACTCCACATATGAGTGAAATCATTTGGTACTTGTCTTTCTCCGCCTGGCTTATTTCACTGAGAATAATGCCCTCTGGCTCCATCTATGTTGTTGCAAATGGTAGGATCTCTTTTTTTCTTATGGCTGAGTAATATTCCATTGTGTATATGTACCACTTCTTCTTTATCCATTCATCTGCCGATGAACATTTAGGTTGCTTCCATATCTTGGCTATTGTAAATAGTGCAGCGATAAACATATGGGTGCATCTGTCTTTTTCAAACTGGAGTGCTGCATTCTTAGGGTAAATTCCTAGAAGTGGAATTCCTGGGTCAAATAGTATTTCTATTTTGAGCTTTTTGAGGAACCTCCATACTGCTTTCCACAATGGTTGAACTAATTTACATTCACACCAGCAGTGTAGGCGGGTTCCCCTTTCTCCACAACCTCGCCAACGTTTCTTGTTGTTTGTCTTTTGGATGGTAGCCATCCTTACTGGTGTGGGGTGATATCTCATTGTGGTTTTAATTTGCATCTCTCTGATGACTAGCGATGTCGAGCATCTTTTCATGTGTCTGTTGGCCATCTGAATTTCTTCTTTGGAGAACTGTCTATTCAGCTCCTCTGCCCATTTTTTAATTGGATTATTTGCCTTTTGTTTGTTGAGGCGTGTGAGCTCTTTATATATTTCAGATGTCAACCCTTTATCAGATGTGTCATTTATGAA